GGGGGCGGCAGCGCAGGAGCCGCGTGGCCTCGGGGGCCTCACGGGTGGCCGGTGTCCCGCAGCTCCCCCGTGTTACCTGGACATCGTCCCCGAAGACCATCGCCTGGAGAGCCCCACCACCCCCCTCCTGGACGACCCCGACGGCTTCGACAGCCCCATCTTCATGTACGCGCCGGAGTTCAAGTTCATGCCGCCGCCCACGTACACGGAGGTGAGCAGCCCTGCGCGCCCGGGGCCACCCCCTGCGGTGGCCGGTGGCCCCTCCGTGCGGAGGTGGCAGGGGGCTCTGGCGGGGATGGGCCGGGTGGGATCGGCCTCGGGATGAGCCCTCCAAGCGCCCGACCGGCCCCTCGGCTTCTTCCGCAGGTGGATCCCTGCAACGGCAACAACAACGTGCAGTGAGGGCCGGGCCAAACGTTCCTGTCCCGCTTGTTCTGGACTCGATCCGCAAGGATTCGTGCGCAGCAGCGGCCGGAGCGCCGGCGTCTGCTGGAGCCTCCTGCTGCAGGAGGGCACGGCCGCGCGCGGGGCCCTTCCCGGAGCGCGGGAGGAGGCGACGGGAGAGGCTGTTCCCGGGCGCCGACTGTCCTGGCTCGTGCCGAGGGATGTGGCTGGGGGGTGAGGACCTTGTGTGCAGCCAGAGTCTGCCAAAAAACGAGAAAAAAGCCCCAAACGCCACCAAACAAAAGCGCGCGCATGGGAAGTGGCGGAAAATCCCTGTGTGGAGCAGGGGACGTGTCGATGTCTCCACAAGACTCCCTCGGGAGAGGCAGATTCCGTGCAGAGCCTGGAGGAGCTGTCGGGGTTCTTGGTTCAGCGACCGCCTCGGCTCCCAAAGCGCCCGTGCGCCGTCGCATCCCGCGGGAGGAGCCGCCCGGCTCCGATCCCGCTCATCCCGTCCCATTTGGTGCTTCCAAGGTGAACTGGGAAGCCGGGCGCCGCGGCCGGCCCCGCCGGTGTCGATGCGGTTGATCCGCGCGGCGTCGGTGCCGCGTCGGTGGCGCTGGCGCCGCCGTGCGCAGGAGGGAGCCCTGGGCTGGCGCTCGGTCCCCTCCTCCGCGACGGCCGCAGCGGCCACCCCGGCCGTGGCAGCTCCAGGACAAAGCCCCTTTCCTGGCTGTCCCCGCGGAGCCCCCTCCATCCTGCGCTGCCCTTTGTGCAGCCTGGGGCTGGCGCACGAGTGTCCCCGAGGTGGGAGCTGGGGACGCTCCTGCGGGGACGGCAGCGTCACCCCGGCTCCGCGGTGGCCCCGCTCCGCGTGCGGGAGCCAAGGCCATTCCCAGGGGAAGCCGGCGCCGCAGGGCCCGGCTCCCCCCAGCTGCCTCTCGCCTGGGACGCACCCGGATCCCGATTCTTTTTGTACCGTTTTGTAGTTGGGTTTTGGGGAGGGGGCGGGAAGGGAAATCCTCTATTTTCTACTGTGAGATTCTGTGGGCCCCCGTGGGGTCTTGTTTGTAATAAAGGTTTTGCAAACCGGAGCGGTCGGAGCCTTTGTGGGTCGGATGGGGAGGAGGAGGGTCCCCAGGGAGGCGCCGGGCGGTTCCGGAGCCGGAGGGATCCGCGGGGAGGAGGGTGCGGAGCCGCGGGCGCAGCGCGGCGGCTGCCGGGAACAGCCCGGCCCGGAGCGCCGGCCCCGGGCCCCGGGTCCCCCCGCCC